TAAAGTCAGTTGCATGCGAGTAAAAGTTTTCTAAATTGACGTAAAAAATGTAAGAAAAGGTGAAGTAGGCAAAAATGTGGCGAACGCTAAAATGTTATAAAGTAAGTAAGAAAGTACTAGAAATATTTATGAAGTAAAAACAATGGAATATCAATAACAAGAACTACTCTAAACAAATAATTTAGCGCGAATTGAATCGCATTGTTTGTTTAGTGTTGGTTTGACGAGACGAAATTCTCACCCGTAAGCCCAGAGAGACCGAAAGAACGAGGAGGACCTTCGAAGTTTTACCATCCATTACTTCAAAAGGAGAAGGAATTGTCCTCGGCTGTTCAAAGGATTCTACCCAAAAAATATCTCTGATTGAGTAGTCCGAAAGGGTTCTTGACTCGCACATCACTACGGCTTTCCAAAAAGCCTTAAGAAGAAGTTAACCGTGCGTCCGATACTATCAGCCACAGGAACGTATGATTATAAACTTGATAAGTGGCTGGACGAAAAGCTAATTTAAAAGCTCCTGTCCACCAACGAAAACATGTACACCGTCAGCGACATTTTCGTTTTTTCTGACGAACTACGTGAAAAGAAAATCAAACACCATGAAGTTCTGGTGTCGTATGATGTATCTTTACTCTTTACTAATGTTCCAGTGGATAAAACCATCGAGAGTATCGCAGAGAGAGCCTTTAAAAACGACTGGCTTAACAGAGAACACGATCTTAGCATCACGAGGTTGGATTTGATGGAGCCGTTAGAATCGCCACCAAAAATCAGCTCTTTCCGTTTGAAGGAAACTTGTACGAACAAGTGGACGGTGTGCCTAGGGGCTCACCATTGGATCCTCTCATGGCAAACGCCTTCATGTGGAAAATCGAGGAAAAGCTGGAAACAGAGAACAAGTTGCCTACGTTCCGCAAACGCTTTGTAGATGATACTCTTAGCGCAATGCCTAATCTGGAAGCAGCCTCAGAATTCCTGATGACGTTAAGCGAGAGTCATCCCTCTGATGATTTTACAATGGAACTCGAAGAAATGGCTAGCTTCCCTTTCTTGGAATAGATATCATCAGGAGTGGTTCCCGCCTAGACACCGTGGTTTACAGAAAACCAACGGACACAGGACTTCTGCTACACTACCGCAGTCACATTGACGCCAGATACAAACGGTCACTACTGAACACCATGCTAAACCGTGCGTTTCAACTCTCTTCTACGTGGAAGTTTTTTCGCGAGAAATGTGAACGCCTCAAATGAGATCTTCTACCAACTGCGCTATCTAGACGATCTTGTACGGTCTACCGTCCGCCAATTCATGGAATAAAAAGTGTTCAAGGACTACATACCCAAGCGTCTGATAAAAGAGAAGCTCCAGTCGGAATCGTGTTGCCACTCAAAGATCAGAAATCTGCGAACGTAGTGCGTAGACAGCTTGCTGACCTCAGTCGGAAAATCAATGCAGATATTAGCCCGGTTTACACAAGTAGAAAGATAAAAGATCAAAAAAAGGTCAGGGAAGCCGAGCTGCCTCTTGTTAGTCAGCAATCTGTGGTCTATTCATTTCAGTGTGGCCTGTTCGATGCAGGCTACGTCGGCTACGCGTGCTGACACCTTCACCAACGAATTGAAGAATACAAGGGATCGGCAATCGGAAACCACCTTAGAGAGCAGCCTGATATGGAACCAGATGACATCGCACAAAGTTTTAGAATCTTAAGAAAGTGTGAGAACAAAATTGAGTGTCTTATTTTTTAAATGTTTTTTAATCAAAGAACTCAAACTAACACTAAACAAACAGTACGACTCAATTCGCGCCAAATTATTTGTTTAGAGTAGTTCTTGTGATTATTATTCCATTGTTTTTACCTAATAAATATTTTTAGCACTTTCTTACAGACTGTATCACATTTTAGCGTTAGCCACATTTTTGCCCACTTCACCTTTTCCTACCTTTTTATGTTATTTTAGAATACTTTTACTCACTTGAAAATGATCTCGGAGAGGTCGAAACGTCGTGTGTTTTTATCGCTAATTTTCATCTCTGAATCGATCTCTAAGAAATTGCTTATTAAGTATTGATGAATCGCCGTAATTCATTTAAAAGATTTTCGATGTTGGAAAGCGATCAAACTTTGTCACAGCGTAAAATCAGGTCATATACGTCCTCTCGCAGGAACGTGTAAGTGGGAGAAGAGATCGGAATATTCGCTGCTATTAGCGAGTTCATAGCAGAGAACTGTTTATGGGGGCATAAAAATACACTGAGAACCAATTCCAGTTTCTAAATTTACTGTAGTACTCAGCATTCCAAACTTAAAGGTTTCTTCACGAGCTACATTTATTTATTGTTTGTAAATTATTATGATTAGATACCACTTACAAACGTCACTTCGCCACAATTTTCCACTCCCTCTATCGCACTTTTCTTGGGTTACCAACCAAATAGGCCACAACCCCTTGGGAACTCCAAATCATATGAATTCGATTACAAAAACACTTTCCCCTTTTCAAATCAATCAAATTAGGAGCATTTTTAAAATTTTTCGCCCAAAACTTCAATTTATTTTGATTATCAATTGTGATCATTCACGACTTACGCACGGCCACACCCACGTCAATAAACCCACGACCATAAGTCATACAAATTACCAAAACATAAATCTACTTTACTTAAAAAAAACAAAACAATACAAAACAAACAAAAACAAAATCAGGCAATTTTTGCAAATCTGACCTGGCCGGTTTGTTTTAAGCTTTAGTTTTCATGACCAAAATAGTCTAAAATGTCGGTAAACGTAGTACTAGCGAAAATCAACTACAACTAGACTGAAACATATAGTGATAAAAACGAGCGATAAAAAATATGAACGACGTTTCGACCGCTACACGGTCATTTTCAAGTTAGAGTTCATGAGTAAATTTCCGCATACATACGATTTCTGAAACAGTGAAATGAATGTAAAAGCTAAGTATTTACATATAAACAATAAAGCTAATAACTAATAACAAAAAGGAAGTGTAAATAAGCAGTGAAAAGGATGAAAATTAATTTATATGAAGTGTCAAGCAAACAGCTTCGCGCGAATAGAATCGCTGTTTGTTCAGAGTTAATAGAGGGAACTATTAACTATGGTTTGTTCAATATTGGCTTAAGGTCCCGAATAAAAAAAGCATTTCGAAAATCAAACAATCGAACTTGTTTGAGCATTTCCTCAGGACCCTAAAGTTCGTTGCGATTTCACATGGTTCGATTCCATGTTCTCTTACATGGTTGCAAAAAAACAGTTTAAATCCCAAGTCTGCAGTTTGTACCCAGTCTGCAGTCTGCATTTTGTAATGACCGATTACTTAATACATTCGCAGAACTAGAAGTTGTGGACCGAATTAAATTTCTGGTCCTGAATAACAGACTCTCTAATTAGCTCCTTCCTAACATATTGCCGAGTTCTCGATCTCTCCTCGTCATCCGCCATATTTGCCTCCTCGAAAGCAAGATCAAAATACAAGTCCCAAGATCCCCCGGCTATTTTCAGTCGCTCTTTCCCAGATTGTTGAACGTGTTTTGTTGTTGAACATGAAGCTCTAGGCCGTGTTGGTTTTGACGTGATTCGCTAGGGTTGCAGACAGGGAGAATTTGTTGATGTTGAGTTACTTTCGTTGTTGGATGTAGTGTGTTTGAAGCGTTGATATTGATATAACTTGTTGAAGTTGGACAATTTTTATCGTTGACCTAAATAGTAAATGTTAATATCGATTTTAAATATCGACAAATTCCATTTAATTCACGTAGGTGGTTTCGATAAAACTTCAATCATTTTGATACAACTTAGTGGGGGATAAATTTTGATGTTTTCAACTGTATACCACTCCGATAAAGAGATTTTAAGAGGTCAAGACGACAATAGTTCGGCAATATACCTTGCTGCGATAAGAGATGGCATCTCCAAAGGAGCGAACACATTAGAGCGTATGGCTCAAGAATAACACAAGAAAGATGTACATGTAAGTTTGATGTCAGTGCTCGATTATTCGATTTGCAAGTATTTGCAGAAGTTCTTAAGGTTAGTCTTGGTTTATCATCCAGACATCCAGATATAGAGGTTCTCAATGAGGAGATTCGAGCATTTAAGGCTCTAACGGTTCAAATTTTAGCCATTTCACGGCCAACGATTTTAATTTTTTTTCATTGTTTTCAAAAGGTAAAGTTTTTAAGGTCGGAGCGACGACGAAGGGCTAACGCTCGAAACGTCAGCTTTTATAATCGTAGCGGTGGCCAATTTACCATTTCAACTTTGTTGATATATTCAAATTATTTCGTTACCCCCACCGACGCAGCCCCAAACAGTTTCTTTAGAAACTATCAGCCTTTATTCATTTTTAAGGTTAACTTCCTTGCGACTAACTGTTAACATACGTAATTTTTACGGCTATGTTTATACGCCGTTTTACATGTTTACTATGTTTATACGCCGTTTAACGTTTAACTCAATTACCAGTTTACATCAAAATGACTGAAGTTGTATCAAACGGACTTTTTACATGTATTGGATAAACTTTGTCGATGTATCGAGTTGACTTCATTCGTATCGAATCGTCTTGCATCGAAACGACATTGTATCGAAATGACCGTAAAGCAGCCTGCTTAAGGATGACCGAAAAGAAGGCGCTAACCTTGTGTTTTTTGCTCATTCAAAGGGACTCTATCTCCTTCCAGTGTTCCTGAAGGTGTTCGAGAAAATTTATATTTGACGGAGGTTCAGAAGCAATGGCTTCTCACTAGTTTAGCACTGGAAAACCTCGTCCTTCCACGAATACGCAAACTAATGGTAGAGGAAATCAAAAAGGAAAACATTAAGAGAAAGATGGACAACCCCTTGGAAGGTTTTTACTCGTCTTTTCCCGACACTTTCCTATCATCGATCACTGATTGTGATGAATTAAGTGGGCCAGAGGGGATCAGATTTCTCATCCAAAGAGGATTCCTAGAACATGCGAGTGTGTTTGCTGGGCATTGGGAACGTTTTATAAGCCCTCGAGAAGCCCGACGTCTTCATGAAGAGTTAAGAAGATTCCTGTCTTCGTTTTTAGAAGGAGTCATATCTGCTGCAGATATCAGGGATTTTCTCGAAGAACTGGACAACTTTGAAGCCAGAGGTATTTAAAAACTAATTTGTGTAACTGATCATGTCAACATACCTTAGGTGCTCTCCATTCAAATAGAATATTCTGCCTGACATTCGCTTCAAGTTTACAATATTTTACCCAATAACTTAAAAAACGAATGCAGCGAGGGCTTTAGAATTGAAAGAGTTCTTGACCTATTCTGATTAGTAATTTTTAGAGATTCATAAGCCGAAGACGTACCTTCGTCTTAAACCTAACTCAGAAACCTTTTCCTTACAGGGACAAAGGAATTGTCACTGAATCGAAAATGACAGCGACGTAGATAAAAGTCTTTTTCTGAAGAAGGGGGAGATATGCCCTTTTCATTCATTAAAGCCCTGAAAATATCGATCTTTCTTTTTGAATGGATCAGTGCGCTTTTGAGGGGTTGTACAGATTTCTTAGAATATTGTTATACCATCTTAATACATATATCGAGATTATCCGAAATATTTTGGTCAAATCGATGGAGAGAAAATTAAGTCGAGCTCTGTCTCTTATCTTATGTTTCAATTTCACCTTTGATCAAATTAAATTGTAACAAATAGATTTGTTGCTAGAAAAGTAGCAACAAATGGATATGCCAAGGGACAAGAACGTCTTCGTAAAAATATATGTTTGCGTTCTACGTACTAAACAAAAACGAAAGTATTATCAATGCTTAGTACTGGGTACTTTTTGAAAATACCAAACATTAATTCGAAGCGAGAAAAACCAATCTCTCCTAATCGCAATTTAAATCGCAAACGGTTTATGCCACACTGTATCTTAAACATTACAGGGATGCAAATCTCAAATGCTTATTTGTTTATTTTTTATGCGTGTTAATGTGACCGATCACCCAAAGTTTATAAATCGTTTTTGTTGCAAAACCGCTGAATGAGGAGGCAATTTAGTTACACGTCTGACCCTTTGTGTTCTAAAAGAATGCGTTTCGAAATCAATGAGTACCTTACGCACGATCCTTTGGAACAGAATGTGTTCTGAGGGAAATCCGATCCGTCAGGCGATAACTACTTTTTCTCAACTCGAAAACCACCTAGACTCAAAACCCTAGTCTCTACATATTAAGATATAAAGTTTTTCGCAGGCGTAAGTCGCTTCACTGATTTTTGAGAAAATAGCCGATTGTTTTACAGTCTAGAGACTGATCCAGTGATTTTCCAAAATGTCATCATCTGAGATAATGTAAGCTGCTAGGTCAAGACAAGCAAGTGATAGAGCGTTTCCTTAATTATTTTGGCAGGCTTGGACCTTCTTAGAAACATATCTGGGCCAGCTGAATTGATGAAACGGATTCAACAACCACATGGTGAAGTAAAGAAAAGGTCTAGCGAAGTCCAAACCCCAAGTGAGAAATTTGGTAATGTTTCAGAGACAGAGAAACTGGTTGGCCAACCCGAAAGTGAACTGCTTAAAAGTACATCGAAGGAGAGTGAAGGTAACTCAAAATTAATGTGTTTTTGTTTTTCGTAAGTTTATTTGTCTTCAGGAGGGCAAAAACTAACATGTCAGTCACATTGTTATGGTAATCAGATTTCCAATAGGGGACCAGAACTCTTTCCCCGCATTCTCAATATTGAATAAGGGCTTTAACGGAGCAAGATCCGGAAAAATCCTCTCACGCAATTAAAATATCAAAAGACCGACGGCTTGTGTTATGCGTCTTCTCTGAAATCGTAATTTTCCCTTTGTGAATATGGCCATCGCGGGACAAAAAAGTCAGGTTACTGTATCACACGACACAATGCGAAATCAAGTGCTTTTACACTTTTCACGATTTTCACTACTTAAGAGTTAGTTAGTTGTTTCAAATCCAATATCAAGTTTAGAAAAAAGGAATTCGAAACCTTGCAATGTTTGGCTGTTGCATTAGGCTACTGGTATAATGGTATACGAACTACGACATAATTGTCACTGGTCTCCAAAGATGTACATACACCTCTCAGTTGATAATAGAAAAAGAACTACTGATGGCTTTAATTCCGTTTTTTGACAGCATAGCGAACTAGAGTAAGAGTAGTTCTCGCTGATTAACAACCGCTAGTGACAATGACCAAATAACAACAACAACAAACAACAACAACAATTTATTTCGCATTAGGGTGGGGGGTTACAATGATTAAAAATTACTCAAGGAAAATAAAGAAAAAGAAAAACCTTACATAATTGACACTGCCCGCAAGTAGCACAGGCTAGCCGCGGCGGGCAGTGACAACAATTTGTTAAGAGTCTAAAGCAAATTATAAATGAAAAGATCATTACAGCTTAATTTTAAGAATAAAAAGAAAAGAAAAAGTACAGCAGATAAATAAATGCACGTGATCAAAAATTTATATGTACAAAGTGATTAAGCTGTATATTTGAGTAAAGACAGCGGAGCTTAATTTCAGACGTCCATCTTGGTCGCTCACCGCTGACCAATGGGAAACTTCTGACGATGACTACTGCCTACGGTTGTTGCAACGTCATGCACTACTACTAACAACAGTCCTATTCAGTACTACTCTCACCCGGAGGATCATACTACACGGTCATATGATACTCCTGGGTTCAAACAAGTGACTGAGTCCCTTAAAATGAAGCGGAAAAAATCGGCCAGTCTTGTAAGAATTTGCCTACTGGACTGCTGAAATGCTGAACATGACTGTTTATTGTTATCCAACCGATTATTGTTAACCGCCTCCCGGTTAGCTCAATTGGTTAAGCGCCGGACTGTTGTGCGGGAGGTCGAGGGTTTGAGCCCCGGCCGGACCAACACTCGGGGTCTTAAAATAATTGAGAAGAATATGCTACCTTTCTATAACATCGATCAAGAAATGGTTAGATATTCTAGTCTTCTCGGACGAATGAATGGAGTTCCCGTCTCCTGCATTTATTAATTAGTTAATCTGGTTAGGCAGGGGACATTAAAGAACCCACTTCACGAGATTACTGTGGTGTGGTCTGGCCTGGTTACTGGGAATTGGGGGGAGGGGGTATCTGTCATATTCGCCTTTATTTGATTGTAAACTGCTTAGCAGTTTGGTAAAGTCCCCCGTACAGTGTTGTAAAGCGCCATGAGCTCAAGATATGAGCGCTATATAAATACAAGTTATTATTATTATTTTTATTATTATTATTATTATTATTATTATTATTATTATTTCATTATATGTAGAAGAAGTGACTTGAAATAACATTTGACGATAAAAACTTGCGACAAAGCGTTGCTTGATAACATTGTAAAATTTAAAAACGAGAAAAAGCTATAGAAAGCTAAAATCGACAACGTTTCGACGTTAACATAACGCCATTA